GAGACAGTCATACTTTGTTGTATATAAATACCATATTTTCTTTATCCATTTATTGCTGATGAGCATATAGGCTGCTTCCACAATTTACCTATTGTGAATGGTGTTGCTGTAAACATTGTTAAGTTTTTGGCACAGCCCAGAGACAAACACGGAGGTAAGAAAAAGCCTTTATTTCTGGCCCAGGAGCGCTGCAGGAGATTGCAGGGACCCTCAAAAGAGACAAAGCTGGGCACTGTTTTTGTGGGATTGGTAAACAGGTGGAGACTATATGAGTTGACAGGTCATCCTATTGGGAGAGGAACTGGAGGACTTTTTGATACCTGAGTGGACAGTGTCAGGTGGGCGATTGGAGGACCTTTTGTACATGTGTGAAAAGGAGACAGAAAGTTTATTGTTTTGTGACCAGTGGACAAAGGAGTTAGTATAGGAGACATATGCTGTTGTTTAGGGGTCAGTGTCGTGGTGGGTGGACACTATGTAGAACCTGGTAGAGACCCATTGGGGCCGAACCCATCCATTGTTATGTATGGATCATTGTAATATGATATCTTTAATTCTTTGGGGATGATACCAGAAGAAGAGCTGAGCTGAATGGAATATTTGTTCTTGTTTTTTTGAGGAATCTCCCACCTGATTTCTATAGTACTTGTATTAGTTTGCATCCCCATAAACAATGTAGAAAGGTGTCTTTTTCCTTGCAGTCTTGCTGTGAATTTGCCTTTTCTCTCTGCAATTTGTTTTTTCACTGCGTTTTTTCCCCTGTGCAGAGACTTTTAGTTAGATATAGCCTAACTTTTCCAATTTGGCTTTTGTTGTCTGTGCTTTTATTGTCATAACAACAATACCACTGTTGAGACTAATGTCATAAATCTTTTCCCCTATGTTTTATTTTTTGAGTTCATGATTTCAGGTCATATGTTTGAGTCTATAACACCTTTTATGTTGGTTGTTAGTTATGGTATAAGAAAAGGCAGAATTTTATTCATTTGCTTGTAGATATCCAACTTTCTCATCTTTTATTAAAGAGATGATCTTCTTTACATTGCATATTGTTGGCTTTCTTGTTAATGTATAGTTGATTATGTACATGTGAAGTAATCTGGGCTTTTGATTCTTGGTTCATAGGTCTGTCTTCAGGTCAGTAAAATATTGTTTTAATTACTACTACAGGTCTTGAAATCAGGAAATATGATGTACGTAGTGTTCATTCTTTTGGCTGTTTTGGGTCCTTTGTGGTAAAAATGAAGCTTAGAATTTTTTCTATTTTGGAAAAAAATGTCTGAGGAATTTTGGCATGTATTATACAGAATCTGTAGATTGTTTTGAGTAGCATGGACATTTTAGCAAAGTTAAATCTTCCAATTTATGATCCCATGATGTATTCTTTAATTTCACTCATGAAAGTGTTGTAGGTGTCAGGGTACAAGTCTTTGATCTATTTAGTTAATCTTAATTGTAAGTGTCTTATTCTTTAACATTATTACAAATGAGATTTCCTCCCTTTTGAGAATGTTCATTGTTAGCAACTACAAATGCAACGGAGCTTTGTTTCCTACTTTTCTGTCTTACAACTTTACTGGATGTATTATTAGTTTCAGAAGATTTTCAGGGTTTTTGTTGTTGCTAACTATACACAAGATTACATACTCTGCAAACAACACTCTTACCTGTCCTTTCTTATGGGAATGACTTTCATTTGATTTTCTTCCCTAATTGCTGTGAGACTTCCACTGCTCCATTAACCAGGAGTGGCACTGCAGTCTGAACATTGTGTATCCCTCAGAGGATCATGGGTGGAAGCCTCTCTCTCTAGCAGGAGGGATTTTGTTCTTCAGGGGTAAGACTTTGGAGGAGATTTTGGGAACCCATTCTGTTTCTGTCTTTCTTCCTCTCCTGCCCACCTGCTACGAAATGACCAGGTCTCTTTAACTATGCATGCCTACTGTGATGTACAATGTCCCTGTAGGCCCAAAGCAACAAGGCCAGATAGCCATAAAGTGAGACCAGAAAAACTATGAGCCAAATGAGATTTATCTCAGGCATTTTCTCACAAAGGTGCCACCAGTGGGCATACTCACTTGACTCTTAGAGAATAAAATTTTTTATTTTATCCAATCACGAATATTTGTTAATGAAAGTGGTGCATTGAAGTAGCTTCCTTTTACTGTACTGTTTCTGCTTTCACTTCTGTTGGTTTGACTTACATTTATGTGCTCTGATGATGGGTGGATATATATTTAAGAGTTGTACCTTCCTGGTGAAATGACCTTTTTATCATATATAGTACTATGCTTTGTCCTCTGTGACGATTTTTTATTTAAATATTTTATTTAAATACCATCTGCCTGGAATATCTTTTCCATCCCTTAACTGTTGGTTTCTGTGTGTCTTTACATCTCAAGAGAGTTACTTATGTATAATATGCCATTTGTTCTTTTTTTCTCTTCAGCTTGTCTATACCTTTTGATTAGAATGATTAATCAATTTAAGTAATGGGGAATGACTTACTATCGATATTCAGTTAGGTGTTAAATTTCTTTCTTTCATTATTTGCTCCTTTTTTCCATTTTTGCTGTCTTCCTTGTGTTTCATTGGTTTTTAAGTGCAAATGGTAACAGAATGCTTTAAGAGCATTCTGCTCTTTCCATATATCTGCTATACGATGGATTATGGTAAGACTTCTATAATGTGTGTTATTAGATTCAGCTCCTAATGACAAGCTGAATCACATAAAACTCACTACACTTTAGTCACAATTTATAACTATTTATATTGTATTTTCATTGACATATATTCTTAATTATTCTTAATGTTATTGTCTTTTATTTTTTACTATAATTAAAAATAACTTACCATTTACAGTAATATAGTATTCTATATTTGTCTGTATATTTAGCTTTATCAATATAATTTATACCTTCATATGGTATTGGACCTTTGTTCAATATCCATTTGTTTCAACTTTGAGGGTTTCCTTTAGCACTTCTTTTAAGTCAAGTCTAAAGGTAATGAAAAACTTCAGCCTTTTTATTTAACCATTTTTTCTCTTATCTTAAAGTACTTTTTTTTGGTGTGGTATTTAAGGTTGGCAAAATTTTCTTTTAAATATTGTGAATATATTATTCTACTCTTATTTGAACTGGAAAGCTTCTGCAGAAGAATCTACAAATAGTCTCATGGCCACTTGTTGTATGTGACAAGTTATTCTTATTCTTGTCATTAGTCTCTTTATGTCTGAATTTTCACAATTTGATTATAATATGTCCTAGTGGGGATCTTTTTATTATCTTATTTGAAGCTTTTTTGGGAACAGGTGGATTGCTGTACCTGGACTAAAATTTTCTTTTTCAGATTTATGAATTTTAAAGCAATATTTCTTTGAGTAAGTGTTTCATCCTTTCTTTCTTATTTTTATTTCTAGAATAGCCAAAATGTTGGTCTAACTTGATAATGTCTCATTAGTTGCTTAAGTTTTTTCTGTCTCTTTTTGATCCATTGCCTGATAATTGAAAATGATATTTCTTTTGAATGAACTGCTTCTTTTTTTTTTTTTTTTTGATATATTGCACATCTTGACCTCAGCTTTGAGATCTTCAGGAAACTGAAAAGTTGTATTTCTTTTGTTGCAAGATTTCTGTGGGATTCTTAAAATTTTAACTAATGAAATTTATGCTCTGCCCATGTGTTGGTTTTCTGAGCTGACTTAAAATGACTATGATGGACACTTTGAATATTCTGGCAGGTAATTACTATGTCTCCTTCTTATCAGAGTTGATTTTTGGAGTTTTATTGTATTTGTTTGTTTAGATCATGTTTCTCTGTTTCTCCCAGTATTTATGGACTGTTTTTTTTTTTTTTCTTGTAGAAGATCCTCACTTACACACAACTGCAGAGAGATTGTACAGACCTCTCCAAACCTCATTCTAGTCTAAATCACTGTCTAGAGGATGCTTGGACCCATCAGTACTCCAAGGTGACACAGATGAGACAGAAGAGAGAGAAGGCACTCATTAGGCAATCCTCAGGAAATCCTGGAACACATGACATGGGATCCAATGTTCCCTCATGTCTAGCAGCTGGTTTTTCTTTTTTTCTCTCTCTTCTCTCCTTTCTTTGCCTACTTACTTTGTGGAAAGTCTAGGGAGCAGCTATGGGAGAGTCCTGGGTTAATTCAAATTATCATGTTTGTTCTCTGTAACATCTAGATATTTAGCATATGCCAGGCTTTATCTGTGCACTGAGATAGGCAAGACTGAAGCCAGGTCCTCAGGCAACACCCCCAAAATTTGAGTTATTGGATGAAGGAACCAACTCTTTCCTTCACATACAGAAGATAAGGAGAGCATATTTTGCCTGTTCACTCTGCTGAGCCATATTTTGCCTGTTCACTCTGGGGAGGAGCTGTGGCATGGGTCCCTGCTAGCTCAGGCTGCCATCTTTGTTCTCTGTGGCAGCCAAGGACCTAGCACATGCCAGGTTTCACTGGGTGATGGTTTTTTAAGTGGAAAAAATATTGAAAGTGCTTGATAGTGACATTTGTGCCAGCGAGGCAAGCCATGTTATAGTGAATACAATTAAGCCCTTTTATAATTGCACATCATGAAATTGATTATAGTTTAGAAATCAGTTTCTTAGGCAACATAGCATGCGCACTGTTTCTGAAAATATCTTCTAAAAATTGTTTAACACAAGAATGAGATTAGAAATTTTTGGGGGGGATGGAAAAAGATTATCCACATAATCCTATTTCCATAGTAGTGCAAAATTAATAAGAAAAAAAAAGAGGGACAAAAAGGAGGAAGAGAAAAAGAGACTTGAAAAAGAGGAAAAATTCAACATCAGAAAAGACATCTACCAAAGCTGATAAGTTAAGACAAAGTTCCACATTTTCATATGTTACTCTGCATATCTATTTTCTTAACTGGAAGACAATCTATTTCATACGCACGAGACTGGCTGGGAAACTTCAATGAGCAGTTTTTTATGGACCTGTCTTACAGATGCCTTCACACTGGGAAGCCATAGAAGAATGCTGGTTCCTGCTCAACAATCAGAAGAAACGGTCACTGTAAAATTAGTGTCAGAGTGGGCCCTGCCACCTTTGCAATTTAAAACAAGGCAACAGTGGACTGTGCCATTTTCCCAGTTATGAGCTCTCGGTTTGAGCTGATCAATTCCATGCAAAAAAGAGAGTGTCAGAGAGGTAAGCCTCAAATTCAGCTCTTAGTGCAATTTTTTCTTACTAAATTTAATGCTGGTGTATTGTGATCAGGAGCAAATTTACATTTGCTTTGTCCACTAAATGGAAAGGCAAAGACTACTCTGTGGTCTAAGCTATGAACCTACAGTACAATGCAGGGGTGTAGATGGTTTTAGAGTTCTCAGCCATTCAGCCTTTGCTGTCTTTGACACTTGAAAGTTTTTCTCTCACTTGATTATTTCTGGTTTTGAAAGAAAAGGTTTTTATATGTCTCTTGAACCTTCAGATTAAATTTGTGGGCATTAGAAATACTTTAATAAATTCTTCAAATAAAATTAGGAAGTCAAAGAAGTCATTTTTTCTTAAAATATCAAAGCTAAATTGAGTGGTATAAAATTAACATTTGAATAGAAATATTTTTAATTCTTGTATTAAATTTTCAAAATAAAAAAAATATTTTAATGTATATGAGCAGTATATTTGTCTAGATCGAGAATGTTCCCCAAAGCCTCATGTACTGATAGGCAGGCCTTTTGGAAGGTGACTGGGTCATGTTGACTGGATTCATCCACAGGTGTGTGCTATTGGAAGGTGGGAGCTGATGGGAAGAGGTGTGTCATGGGAAGAGATGTGTCACTGGGGTCATGACCTGGAAGAGTATATTCCAGTTTCCTGTTCCTCCACTTGCTCCTTCTTTGTGGACATCATGACTAGAGTGGTTTTTCTGGAGCACATTCTTCCACCATGGTATTTCTGTGTTTGAAACTATGGACTGTGGATGAAAACTTCTGAAGCAGTGAGTCAAAGTAAACTTCTCTTTAAATTGTAGATGGTGGATATCTTGTCTCAGATAAGACAAGTAACCAGGAAAGAATTGAGGACAGTAGAGATAACACCAGAGTATGTACTGTTTGTTCTAAAACTAATGCTTTTGAGGTCCTTCTATCCTCTGCTTCCTCACTTTGTTCTTCCATCAGAGACAATCAGTTTGTTGATTATTATTGTTTTATTCTCTTGGTTTTATATTTGTTTTTCTCTGTGTATTTACCGCATATTTATCTCTAATCACAAAATTGCCTGATAGAATATTTTTGATTTTTAAAGTGTATTTGTGTTCTCTATTTTGGGACATTAAACTCAGGACTTTATGCATATGTTCTGCCAATGATCTGCGTCTCTAGCTATTTTTAAATAGTATAAATGGAAGGTGGTATATTCAGTGACTTTATCTATTTATTACTCAACATCTGGATGCAGTTTATCTATGTTGCTGTAGGTAGTTGTAACTCATTCACTTTCCTGACTATAGTATTTTATTAAATAAATAACTAACTTTTCTATTCTTTTATTATTGGACCTTTGGGTTGTTTATAGATTTTTGTGACTCCAGTTTTTGACATTTCCTTTGTGTGGTGTATAAAGCTCCTCACCAGTCACTCCTTGTCTGTCCTTCCAATTTTATTTCACTGGGTTTTCCAACAATAGCTCCACTTCCCTGAGTTATTGATTTATCGCCTTGTTTTTGACCATGGAGTTCTTTTGCCTTAGAAAAAGCCCATGTCCAGCTCCTCTCCCCTGTGAACTCAGTTCAAGAGTTTTTTAATGTGACACCTTAGAAGCACTTTTGACCCTGACCTGAGGCTGATTGTTGTGTTTATTATAATGTAAATGATGACTGCTAAGCTCAGGAGAGAAGGACAGAAGTTATAAATTTCATCTCTGTATGACTGGGGCCAAACACGCCTGAAGCAGCTGAATATTCAGCAGTTCTGATTATGTTATTTTCATCACACTGCCTAACTATGTATCTAAAAAGTATCATTTTATAAAAGTACCTCATCATCGATACACAACTCATATATTCCATTATGCCCTTTAAATAAGTGATTTCCAATTTGTGAGTCCATGGAACACTTGCTCCACCTGCTCTCTGTTATTACTTCAAAAACTGTGACATCAGAATTAATCAGGATTATGGTACTGCTTTCAATAATACACACTTTAATTCACACAATCAGCACAGACAGGAACAAAAACACCTCCTGGATGATATTCACAGTCTGCCAGCAATATCCAGGTCATACTTTGAAAAATGTTATCTTAAATGAACTGAGAATTTAGTGTGGTCTTCACATAAGGCTCACACATTGAAATAGCTTTTCATTAACTGACACGTTGTTAAGAGAAAATTTTGGTAATTTCTTTTCGTTAGAAGTTTAGGATTTTGTAACATCAATGTACAGCATGAAACATCAATGATCTATTATTATAAATTATAATGATAGTCTAAATTTTAATTTTTAGGGTAACATCAGTTATGTCTACTCTGTCTTAATTTTTTTAATAAAATGTGTCATGAAAATGAACAAAATTATTTCAATGATAGCAGAATTATAAATTGAAGTTAAGACAGATTAATGTCAAAGCTTAGGCAACTTTCCTAACTGCTGGATGGGTGTTAAGTAAAGTATATCCTGCTGAACTACATTCCAGTTCAAACACTTTCATCTAACATTGCCATTGCCTAGAGATTGCCAGCGAAGGTGGAGGAATTATGTAATTTATCCATCTATATGGCCTCAAGTCCAGAATCTTGTGACTGCTTTGTTGGGCAAACAAAACAAGACTCCAAATGGCATATGAGGCATCTTACAACAAAGACAGGCAAAGGTCCAGCAATGTCTGCTGTCATCAGTGGATCTCTATGTGTATGTTCAGAGAGCAGAATTCTCCTTATACAACATTCCAGTAAATGAGGGAGGGCAGAACATTTTTCTTGTCTACTGTAATCCTTTATCACTTCAGAAAAGGTCAAAAGCAAGCCTTTGTAGTGAGAAAAGTGACAGGTACTAGTACTAGTAACAAAAGCAAGTAGTAAAATTCCTCCAAAGTGTGCTATCAAAATTACCTGAAAAGTCACTTTGTCTTTCTTATGTACTCCTGGTAACAGTGTGATGCTAGCATCTCACAGACCCAGAGTAGACGCTAAGGACACAGATTGACTCCTCTCCATCCCACATGAGCCGTGACCCTTCACAATTCTAGAGAATACAAAAATAGAATAAAATTTCCCTTTCTTCTACTGACTAAAGAGGAAAAGTAAAAATAGTGTAAAACATAGAAAAACATTTAAGTGTAAGAGGAAACAGTACATAGCTCAGAGTACTTGAAAGTAGTATAAGCATCAAGAAAAAATGATTTTTATAAGGAATAACAGCAATAAAAATATAAGATTTCTACCTGCTGTCCAGTGAAAAACAAGGTTTGACTTTTATGAAGTGTGGAAAGAAAGTGTGGAAAGAAGAATAGATTAAGATGAAATTAGGGTCTCTCAGGAGATGGCTGATGAGGTGAAAGGCTGGAAAAGAAACAGAAGATAGTAGCAAGAATACTCTTGTGCCAGATGAGATACAAAAGACTAACTGGTGATACCCTTCAAAATTGCACAGAACAAGAATAAATTTATGCAAAAGAGAAAAGGAGATTACAAATATAGGAGAAGAGAGCAGAGATGCAATTGAATAAAGTAACATGAAAAAAGTATTAGAAAAGTCAATAAAGAAGACTGAGGAAGAATTCCCACATTAAAGGGGAAAAAAGTCACAATTACAAAAAAATTCTTCACTTTGCTTAAATTTAATATAAGACCTTACTTAAATCTTTCTCAACTTGTTTCTATTTTAATGAGAACAATTTACAGGTTTATCTGGAATAATATCAACAAAACTTAAAAAAATCAAAGTGCATTAACTTCAGCTTACCATGTAACTTAGGGTGCATAAGATCAACACTGGTCTTTAAAGATTTTTAAAGATGAAGTAGCTGATATTGTGGGAGTTGTACATCCAGCCCTACTCTGCTTGGCGGATGAAGAGTGTGGGCAAACATGGGCACATATCTAAGGAAATTTCATAAATATTTATTCCCTTAAAATCAGAAAGATTCATTTAATATAAGATTTTATGTAGAGATAACTGATGAGAGGGGAGTCCTGAAGATGGCGGATAGATAACAGCAAGCAGCAGAGGCTCTCGGAGATAGTCAACTTAGATTCCAAAAACAATACAGTGTGGGGAGTCCCAAACAGAGGAAGATAGACCCTCCTGGTCCAGGAACAAATTGAGCTGAGAAAAACCAAATAAAAATACAGTCCTGGTGATACGATTGGAATAGCTACAGTCTCAGCACTGCTGCTTGAACTGCCTGCTTGGATTCACTGTTGCTGTGCTTGAACTGGTGCAGGTGGGATAGCCTACCAGGTTCAACTCACTGGAGAGGTGTTCACACCAAGGACAGGAGCTGGCAAACTGAATTGAGAGCAGAGCTGGCGGGGAACCCCTCATTGACCTGTGGTGAGTGAGCAGAATAAAATCTGTTCCATAGAGAAGGGGGAGCTCCAACAGATGACATTCTGGGACGGGGCAGACTGGCCAGAACAAGGAGCAGTGGGGACTTCAGCTGGCTATTCCCTTTTCAAGCAGGATTGGTGGGGTGAACTCGACCTGGGTAATGCCGCGGACTAAGGCCCAGTAGGCTAGTCCAAATCAAATCCCTATGCCTGGCAGTTCACCTTAATGCAGTGAAGCCTTCAGCAGGTTGACTGACCTAGAGGGGTGGGTCCATCATAGCCTGCCTGGTCTGTGTCTCCTTAATACACTGCAATGGGCAGGAACACCTAGGCGCCACGATTCAAAGAAACTGTAACAACAAACAAAGAAACGAGGCCTCCTATATACACTTGTATGGAAGGAACAAAAAGTATGGGAAGAGGGAGCAACAAGAAAGGGTCCTGAGAACACTGATCCAGGAAAGGTAAATGCAAAGGAGAATGAGGACAGCAAACATGCAGTATTAGACAAGGCACCAATAGACATAAAAGGGTATCTTTGGACCTCATAGATAAGTTAAAAAGTGAAATATTTAACCAAGCAAAGTAAGATATAAGTAGAACAGTTAAAAAAATGCTAAGCACCTCCCAAGAAAAAACAGATGGAAGAATGGAAGAACAACAAAAAAAAGCGGGGGAGAATTGTTTGATGGAGAAAATAGAGAAAACATAGAATACATGAAGCAGGTTCAAAGAGATTACCAGGAAATTAAAAACTCCACTGAAAGCTGGAAAAACTGCTTGACAGTAACTAAGGATAGATTATCTGAACTGGAGGACAGGTTTGCAATGTGGGAACATGAAAGGAAAAACTTCTTAAGAATAACAAAGAAACAAGCAGTAACAATACAAAGGCTACAAGATGACAAGAGGATCTATAACTTAAGAATAAAGAATGTGAATGAAGAAGCAGGGGTACAAACAAAAGAACTGCAAAGGCTATTTGCAGAAATAATTAAGGAAAACTTTCCAAACCTAGGAAAAGGAAAAGATACTCAGATATACGAGGCATACAGAACTCCAGCCACCTACAACCAAAACAGAACTACACCCAGGCATACAATAAGACTGCAGAAATCCAATATAAGAACAGAATATTAAAAGCCATCGGAGACAAGAAACAGATCACTTACAAGGGAACACTCATCAAAATTATGTCAGACTTCTTGGCACAAACCATCAAACTGAGAAGAGTGTGGGGCAAAATAATCCAAGCCTTGAAAGAAAATAACCTCCAGCCAAGGTTGATCTACCCTGCACAACTGTCCCTAGAAATTAATGGAGAAACAAGGTGCTTCCAAGATAAAGAGGAACTGGAGGAATTTGCAACCACCAATCCAACTCTACATAGAATACTCCAAGACATTCTAAAGAGAGAGAAAAGCACCAAGATTTCAAGAACAGTGGCAGAGAGGCCCCAATGAATGGAACAAAAAGCAAAATGAAGAAGACAAACAGACAACTAATGACAGAAAAAGAGCACAACAGAAACGAGGCAGAGAAGGTTGGATATAATTTCTAACATAGATGGCCTAGATACACTAACTTAAGGGAAAAAAGAGAGAATCACAGGCAGAGTGGATCAAGAGGTAGGGTCCACCGAGATGCTCTTTATAGGGAATATAATTAACCTGAAGAATATGAACCAAAATCAAAT